GACTGGCTCACCTTCCCCCCCCTCTCGCCTGGGGTTAGCAGGGTCCCAATTTCCAAAACCAGGGGTTCTGGAGCCCCCCCCGGCACCGCCCGTCCCCTCCCCCCACCAGGACCAGAACCCTGTGAGTCCCCGGGGGCGAGGCCGGGGGGTGGGGGGGACGCTCCCGCCCCGGCCCCCCGCCAGAACGCTCACCTTCCACCACGCCGCACAGGAACTTGCGGGCCCCGCCTGCCGCCCCGGACACCGCAGCTCCCCCGGCGCCGGCCGGGCTGTCTTTCTCCGGGGGCCGGAGCTGCCGGGGACTCCAACGATGCCCCCGCGGAGCTGGCAGGGTTGGCGTTGAGCTCGTTCTCCCGCTCCTCCAGCGCCGCCTGGCTCTCCTTCTGCACCATCTTCCTGCCCGCGACCGCCGCCACCGCTACGGGTCCTCCTCGGCCTCCGAGTGCCGGGCCCCCGGCCCAGAGCCCTGGACAGGGCCTCGGCTCCCAGTGCTCGCGCGCCGGCTCCGGCCTTCCCCTCCGCCCTTCCCCCTCCCACGCCGCAGGAACCCGGATGCCCGGATGAGAAGGGCGGCGGCACCAGAGCGAGCCCTTTGTCAGCTGCAGCCTCAGCTGCGGACGGGAGACCTCCGCCGAGAACGAAGCTGCACCTCTCGTTCCCTGGAGGCGGCTGGCAAAAGCTGCTTTCCACCTTCTCCGTTAGCCTCGGCTGCCGGCCCTACAAGCTTACTTTCTTCCGCTGTTTCCCCCCGAAACCCCGAGATCTCTCCTGCCGCTGCCTCTACCACCAGCTTCCTGTTTATCCGCACTGCGCCTGCGCCGGAGACCGGCTCAGACCGGTCGCCTCAGCCCGGCTCCCCCTCCTAGTGTCGGGCCAGCCTATTGCGCTGCATCCGGCAGGGAGACTGGGAGCCGAGGCGGCGCGCAGGGCGGGAGGGAATGAAAGCAGCAGGATGTACCACTGACGGTCGCCACCCTCCAGGACGTGCAGGGCGCCCAGGGACGGACCAGCACCCCACCCCAGGAAAGGCAATGTGGGAGGGGGCTGCAGCCGACGGGGCAATTGGGAAAAGGGGAAGAGAGCTGTTTACTCTCTCAGTGCGCAGGCGCGGGCGCGAAGCCTCTGGTTCTTAAAGACGTAGGCGGGCACTGACCTACTTCTATTGGGGTTCTTCTCAGAGGTGGGTTCATGGCGACGGCCTGACACAGGCTCGGTTCTGCGAAGACCACACTTCACGGTGCTCAGCTAACCCCTGTGTCTTGAATCATTTTCCTCTACCCCCAGCTTGGCGCTAACCCCTTGGAAAGATCCGATCATTCGTTCCTTCATTCCGCAGACACCTACGGAGCTCGCCGCGCGCTGGGTGCTGGGCTCTCAGGCCACTATGAGCTCACAGCATGGTGGCGGAGACAGAGTACCCACACAGTCCCCATACAGAGTGCAGAGAAGGGGCTAATGGCATCCTCTTTGGGGGAGAGGCAGTGGCCGTGATGGTTTTGTGTTTTGAGTTGGATGTTAAAGGATGAGGAGTTAGCCAGAGTGAGTACTGAAGAAGGGAGAACGCCCCAGGCAAAGGGAACAGAGTACAAATGTAGGGAAGGGGGAGGGGGGTAAGGAATGGGGAGCGAGCCTGAATTGTGAGTGAGAAGTGAGATCCCTCGGGCCTCAGCATAAACATCAGTTCCTCGGGGAAGCCTTCCCTGCGCCCTAGGTGGGCCTGGATCCCATTGCTGTGTGTTCTCAGAGCTCCCTGTAGCCCTGTCAGAATGCACTGGACATTTATGTAGAGAGATCTGTCCCAAGGTGGGAGGTAGAAATGTGGAATAAGCACCTCAGTCTCATTCGGATTACTAAGGCTTGGTATTGTCCACCTTCCACTTCAGTTTCATATTTGACTCCTCCGGTGGTAGATCAACTTGTAGCTCTAAGGACTCTTACAGCCCATGTTCTTTTTATTCCGGGAGTGTTGAGATTGGGGTTAAGGGCAGGCATTTTCTTAGGGGGTTTCCTGTGATAACAACTGGGAGTCATAAGCAGCTTCCGTGGATACTGTGATCACTTGGGGGACTTGGGACTGTCATTCCAGCTGACCCCAGCCTTTAGTCCATGACACTTTACTCTTTGCCTCACACCTCACACCATGATATCTGCTAGCAAGTCAGTAGCCACAGTTTCATCTCTCCACAGTCCAGACTCTGGCGTCTGTGGCCCAGGCAAGATCCACTTTCCAAATCTGTATCTCTCAAACTTGAAGGGCAGTTCTTGCTACACACTTTCTCTCCATACCACACCTACAATAGGAATCAAAATTTAATAGGCCTGTGATAAGTATTTGTAGGTAAATGAAATAGGGCCCTGCTCTCACGGAGTGTACATTCTAGTTGAGGAAACAGGCCATAATAAATTCAATACACACACAGGAACTCAGTTTGTGATAAGTAATATGAACGGAAGAAATTGAGGGATATGATAAAAAGTAGCCACCACAAGGAGGGGCTACTTTAGTGGAAGAATAAGTAGTGATCAGGTGAGTAATGACAGGGGCTTCGACTAGGGGACAGCAGTGGAGATAGAGAGGCGGTACACCTTTGGTGGTTGATTAAAAGGGGGTAAGAGGGAGAGGAAGAAATGAATTCTCAACTAGATGAGCAACCAGGTGGATGGTGTCATTTACTGAAATGGGGAAGACTTGGAAGGCATGAATCAAAGTTCCATTTTGAACATGTTAAGTTTGAACGTTTCAGGTCCACATGAATATGTCAAATAGATAATTCTGGAGCTGTGAACTCAGGAGTCCTCTGCATATAAATGAAGCCATGGGGTTTACTGTGATTTGGAGAAGAGGCTCAAGTCTGAGCTGTGGGGCCCTAATGTTGTTTAGAATTCCAGTTGAGAAGGATGAGTCTGCAGGGGGAGGGGTCAGAAGGGTCATCCAGAAATGTAAGAGAAAAACCAGGAAGTATAAAATACTGGAAGGCAGGAAAGGAGGGTGTTTAGAGATGGAGCAGCTGACAACATTCAGAGTCTGACCAATGGCTAGAAAAAAATCAGAATGCCAACCTGTTTTTTTCTGGTTCCCATAGGTGTGCTCTGGTTCTGGGGCACTTCCTACTTCACTAGAAATGCTCAGCTCAGACTTCAACTTCCCTTAAACATGGATCTACCCTGAAACATAGAAAATGTCTCCATACCTAACCCAGTTATATACACACACTCACTATGCTCATTCATCCAATCACACAATTATTGAGTGCCTGTTATTTACCAGGCCTTGAGGATAAGATAGTGAGATGGGGGAACCTAGTCCAGGCACTCAAGGAGCCCTCAAGAGCTTACAGTGTATCAAAGAAGACAATCACCCAAATATATAGTTATAAACTGAGAGGTGCCATGAAGGAAAAGTATAGGGCACCATGAGAGCCTGTCAGTGTCACCTTGTTTAAATTATGCATGACATGCACAGCATCCATCTTTCACACACAAATCTCTACTGTGCCACAAGGCCACCCTGAACAGACTTGGGGGACTGAGTCTAGTCTCAATCCTCCTATAAATGTGCGTGTTTCCTCTTCTCTACAATGGAAGGCTGAAAGGTAGACTGGATCACAGGTTCTTAACTTAGGGCCCGTGGATGGGCTTCAGGGATACACAAATGAATGGGAAAATGTGCATTGTTTTTCCTTCTGGACAGTAAACCCATAGCTTTCATCAGATCCTTCAGAGGTGTTGTGACCCAAAGAAACCCAAGGACCTAAGGATTAGATAATTGTGTGATGTGAGCCAGGACAGATGACAAAATGATGCACTTTGGAACTATTTGTTTCTTGGATACCATACCCTTCCCTTGACCTTGTCAGTGTGTAGAGTAATAGAATAGAAGGCCTGATCCCTCTTCTATGGATGGTTAAGCTTAGTAACTATATGAAGGTACCTTAGAGAAAGAATAGGAGGAAT